GGGAAATGAAACTGAGCAAAACAGAATTGTTTGTTCTACAAGAAGTAATCTTGCCTAAATAATTTAAATACGCACTAAACTTTATCTATCATAAACCTAGCTTAAACTACAGTTATTTGTCCTATARTTTTTATTGCTAATGCTTTTCAGTGGTTATCCCATCAACTCAAAAAACTTTAAGAAAACAGGAAACAAGCATGGGGTTCCATTCCCTGTTGCATTTGTGCAAGTCACCACTTATTATTAAACCCCTTCCGTATAACTGGGAATGATTAAGGACAGGGGAGAGTGAGTCAAAGACCTTCTTTAGAGAAGCATGCGTGCAAAAGAAAGACAAATAAATGTTAACTATAATTTTAAAAAATACTAAATACAGGACATGAAGAGTACAGCAGGGCAAGAAGGGGATAACTAATTTTAACTCAGTGTTGGAAGGGAAGTGTGAACCCAGGTGAGGATGGTGATGTTCAAATCAGGTCTTAAAGTAGGTTTGCAAAAACCTCTCAGTGTTTTGAATCTAAGTTCCTCTTCAGAATGGAAGGACTTCTAACTGTAGTTTGTCTTGGGAACCAAATGTGATGCTCCTGCATGGTTAACAGTAAAAGTTCTTTGCTTTAATAGTTTATGGTCTTAATGGGATGCAGAGTAACTGAAGGCCCTGGTTTGAAAACACTTATATATGAGATTTGCATCCACTAGCTTCATGTATTTCTAAAATGTAGCTCTAATAACATCTGTGCTGGTAACTCAGAACACTATCTTCAAGTGAAAATACTCAAAAGGAAGATCCATATTTTTTTCCTTTTGCTAATACTTCATTTATCAAAACTTTTTTATATTTTAACAAAGTTTTTAACCCCAAGGTTGGTAAACTCAGGCAAGTGGCACTAGTTAGGAGATAACTTGGGACCATAACCAGGCTAGTTAACTCAGTTTCCCCATCTATAAAGATAATGATAGGACCCATCTCATGTGGTTCACATGAGCATGAACTGAGTTATCACATGTAAAACCCTTGAAAGGACATTCAGCTCACACTAAGTCAAGAGTAAATATAGCTGCTTTACTGAGAAGGGTTTTCAAAGAGTTTATTTCTAATTTGCTACACCAATTGAGAAGAAATGCAGTGTTCTGTTCTATTTCACTTTTATAAGGCGGACTCTGAAACTGTACTTACTTCCAGAGAATAAACCTAAGAAAAAGCTGATTTCTTTTCTAGACGATAATAGCAGTCACAGAAATAGCTTACTTCAAAAGGTTCACAACCCATTTAGGGGGTAAGTGAAGTAAGAATCACACTGTATAATAACAAATTTTTTTAAAAATTCACCAAAGCTAGGATTAATAGCTAAGCTAACATTTCTCTTCCCTTTTTATTTGTTCCTTACATTTGCAGCCAAATACTCCACCATTCCATTTTCTATACTGTTTATCACACAGAAAAACACTTTTGGGATCACAGATTACTCACAAATAATTGGCTGAAGCAATCATATCATTTTTATTTTAAACCAAGTTTAAAAAATTAGAGTTGAGTAAATGTCACTATGGGTCAGGCAGTGTCACAATCCCTCTGCAACCAAGGTCTCAACAAGCTGAAGAGAATTTGGCTGGCCCACTCAAGGCAGCCAAGGAAATATATAATAAAGGTTGTAGATTCTGATAAGGACTATAGCAGATGGATATACAAAGAGAGCACACTGGGCATCTTTCAAAGTTCCCTTCTCATAGAAGCTGAAATTGGTCTACTTAATGTAGGAGTTAAGAACTCTAGAACTGAGTTCAAATATAAGCTTTGCCACCAGCAAGCTGTATGGCCAGCCACAATTTAGCCTCTGAGCTTCTTAATCTGCAAAATTAAGATAATGAGTTTGTTGTAAAGATTAAATTAGTATTTGAGAAGCATTAAGAGCAGTACTTGACACRGTGCTATATAAAGTGTCTACTACATAAACACTGCAATAACTTGGGCATTCATGCTAGTTTCACTTGCAGATGTGAAGACGATTTCAGTTTTTAGTGTAGGCCCTCTCTCAGCACAGTTATATAAAATAATCATTCAGAATGATCTTTTAAAAGTTGATGCTGGCCAGGAGAGGTGGTGCACGCCTGTAATTCCAGTGACTTGGGAGGCTGAGACAGGAGAATCACAGGTTCGAAGCCAGCCTCAGCAACAGTGAGGTGCTAAGTAACTCAGTGAGACCCTGTCTCTAAATAAAATACAAAATAGGGCTGGGGATGTGACTCAGTGGTTGAGTGTCCCTGAGTTCAAGCACTAGTACTCCTGCCCCCCAAAAAATTTGATGCCGGAGTAATTACCATATGGGACATTATAATTTTGTTCTTTAATATTAGACTTAGRGTGCTTTAGAAATTTAAAAACAACATGCATTTTGGTATTTTCTAGATAACCAAAAGTTCATGATTATAAAGAGTTCGAGACCAGTGTCCATTTAACTATTTTAATAGCTAAAATTTGAAATAGCAAAGATCTAACAATTTGCCTCTACAAATATAGTAAGCACATGCATCCTGGCTTATGAAGAAGAAGATACCCTCCCCTCAAATAGTTTAAATGTAAAAATATCCAACCCCTCTCCTATAAGGTAGGTACTACAAAGGATAATAAAAAGCTTGAGTTGCTGAGTTTCATTCATTTTTAATAATGTTTGGATTGGAACTTTTCCTGAGCAGAGGTTGGAAACAATCAAGCCCTAAGTATTCTTTTCCAATTCCAGACTAATGCATTGTCTCACATGAACTGTAAATACCCTCTAAGCAAAATGTGCCCAAGGTCCATTATAAGCCTACATTTAGATGCCAATCAAAATACTTGTAAGAATTGAGATTTCAAATGCTCATCTATAGGCAAGATATATATATATATATATCTTGGGTCATAGTCAGATATGTCATTTTGGGAAAATGCTGTTTTGCAAAGGGACTCTTTAATTACTTTGACTATAGTAGCAATTCTTGTCCCATAAAGGGACTGTGGTCATCATGAAGACCAGAGACCCTCTTCCCTAGTTCCTCTGATTCTACTGCTTGTTTTCAAATAAATACTGATTCACTCTGTGAAACCAGGGTTTTCCAAAAATTCCTCATCGTGAATTATTTTAATGGGTTATGGGAACATTTGGGAAACAGTCTAAAAAATGGAAATTTCGTACTTAAAAATYACTTTAGTAACTGAAGATGTTCTATTAAGGAATATTCTCCAAATAGTTCTTTAATGTGGGAAGAGTTTCTTAAAAGAATGCTACAAACAATAGAAAGCCTCCATTATTTTTGTGGTAAGTTTGAGAAAAGCAGGCTGAAATAAAAGGCGAGATGAGAAACTAAGTACTTTTTTTTAGTAGGCATTTAAATTTTGTCTGAAGAGAAAATCAGAACTTGGTTGTAAAAGAGTCAAACTCTGCTCTTGGGGAGAAAACTTTCAGATGTTTGTAGGAGATGAGGACTGAGCCAAAATAGTGATATGGTGATTCCCATCACCAAAGAAATTTTTTAAAAAATACCAAAGCTGTCCTCTACTATATGAATACATATACCATCCACTTCTTATGTGCAGTATTATTGAAAAATCTGAGGATTTAAAAGCTGGTGATATCCACAGAAATAGAGGAAGGCCAATTACATCTAATGCCAGATATTTGTTTCTTTCTTCTTTAACTTTAATCTTATTTCTTTCCTTCTTTCTGATAAGTGCTGATAAAAACAGGCATCTACACACAACCCCGATCCAGGCAACTCTCCAAAAACCTCTGGTTTAGCAATGGCCTGGGAACTCTCCAAAAACCTCTGGTTTAGCAATGGCCTGGGATTCGAGAAATAGGCGAACTCACTCTCTCTCTCTCTCTCTCTCTCTCTCTCTCTCTGATGGGCTTTCTTTCTCCTGAGCCTCTGGGTTCCTCCAGTCTGCAACCACCGGTCTTCACCAGATTCACAGTCTGAAATCCGGAGTGAAGCCCACCACTGTGGAGTCCGCCCTCCTGCAGCCACGGGCCAATACCTGGACCACCCGGCCAGGAGGCGCTGCGGGCCATTCTCCAGGGGCCACTGGCAGCCGGCGCCCAGCCCCCATCTCCTCGCGCAGAGCCCAGCCCAGCCGCCAGCTCCAAGTTCTGCGCCGCCCGCCGGGGTTACTCGCGGTCATTTCGCTGCACCACCTCGCCCCAGCTTCGCCACCCGCGCCCGTCCTCAAGCTGTCCCAAGGGACGAGCAGCAAAGGGCAGAAGATGGAGCAGAAGGTGAAGCAGAATGGGTCCCCCGGCTCTGGTTTCCGCAGGCTCTTCTAAGTCTTGAAAGGAACAAAACTCATTCCCCCACCCCCACCCTCTGTGCCAGGGACAACAGCTCCGCGAGCGCACGGAAAGTGCAGGCAGGACCCCCAGGTCTAACAAAGCCCCCGGGCCTCAAGCGAGCCATATCACATCCGACTCCGTTTGGGACACAACTATTCCAGTTCTGTGGATACAACGACGAGCCTCTCCAGTCCTGGGGCGCGCTGAGCTGATCCAGAGCTCAGAGCTCAACACCGACCGTTTCTTAAGGAAGGAGTGAGGACTCTGGCATTTGTCCCCGTGGGCGCCGGCTCACTCGCAGCTAGAGGGGTTTCCAGCCGGCCCCAGCGCTTCCAAACAAAGGGAAGCGCTTTGCGTCSGATCTGCCATTCTCCCCACCTCAGTAGCAGCGCCCCCAGCATACCCAGGAAACCCCGACCTCACTGCGCCCAAGATACTGCTCCTGGTTCTCCATGCCCAGAGATGCTCTCAGGACACCCAGACAGGGCGAGCCCCGAGGGTAGCAGCAGTGCGGCGACCCGAGGTCTGCACAGCAGGCATCCTCTCCCCCTTTACGCCGCTCCTACCCCATTTGTATTGCAAGAAGTGGGAATGTGGGGGCCGGGAACAGAGTCCCCGAAACCGGGTACTTCCCAAAGCCTCTTCCGCCCCAAAGCAAAACAATAATGTCCAAGTCTCTAGAAAGCCTCTTACCTGTTTTCCACTTTTGTGTTTGCGTCTCTTTCCCCCACCCCTTGACCAACCGTTCCGGTGAAGGGCAGAGAAAGAAGTGTGGGAAAACGGGGAGCAAAGCGCCCCTGGAAATGGGCTTCGGCTGCGCTGTCCTGTGGAGCCCCCTGTCCTGCCCACGCGCKTAGGGGAAGAGAGGTGTGGGCTCGGCTCGGCCGGTCCCGGCCCCACTCACTCTCCCTCGGAATTACTGGGTTTTGCCGCGACTAGTTCCTTTTATAGATTCGGCTGCGCCGAGCGCAGGGGTTACTATCGGTCAAAGCCTGTTCTCTCCCTCCTCCCCCGCCCCCTTCCCGGCCTCTGTTTATGTAGTTCAGTCACTCAGCAAGAAAGCACGTGGAGCTGCGGCCCGCCCCTTAAACCGGCGACGCAGACCCGGCAGCGCTAGGCTGGGGTGGAGAGTGCTCCAGACCCAAAGGGTCCGCGGTCGGTGTTGCGCACCCACTGCCCCGGCCCTGACCTGCCAGCCTCAGACGAGCGGGAAACTGGGCTTCAGCTGCGACCAACTGGGCTTCAGCTGCGACCAAGACTCGAGTCTGTGTTCTGGGCAGCCAAAGGCGCTGGTGGAATTGCTTCCTCTAAACTGAATCTATCTCATTTTCCCCCGCTTTGTTAGTTTACTCAACCGTGGGATTGGGAAGAGAACTGGAGGTCAGCATCCCTCTAGGCGGCAACCCTTTAGTCTCTCTTCCTTTCAAAGACCCAGAATGTGGGCAAATGTGGACAGTCTCTAAATAAACTTTTTTTTTTAACCCCAAACCTTGACTCTGGTTTTCAGTAGGAGACCTACTACTGCCTTTGAGATTCTCTGCTTGAGTCCCCCAGGTTCCTCCAGTACCAATAAAGAGATCTTGCTTCTTGTCTTTCTAAATAGGGAGGAGGGACACGGGGATGGGTGGGGGCAGAGGAACAGTGTAAAAAGGGCCAGACCCCTTTTTACCTTCATTACATTGGTTAAGRTCCCTGTGGTAAATACCCAGGGCTTGTGTTTTAGCTTGTTTGTTTTATTTATTTATTTTTTGAGAGAGAGAGAGAGAAAGAGAGAGAGARAAAATTTTTTTTAATATTTATTTTTTATTTTTTGGCGGACACAACATCTTTGTTTGTATGTGGTGCTGAGGGTCCAACCCGGCCGCTCGCATGCCAGGCAAGCACACTACGGCTTGAGCCACATTCCCAGTCCCTAGCTTTTTTAGATTTACAAAGTTCAGCTAGAGAATCACCATCTCTAATCATGTAAAATTATATAACCACTCCAATGTTCCAGCCTCTTCCTTGGCTTTGGCTTTGGGAGTCAGGTACAAGATTGCCCCAAACATATGAGGGGCAGAGGCAAGAGTATGAAGGGAGGTCTACATGCTATATGTTTAAATATTGAGGTCTTAATGTCTCCTACCATGAAAAAGATAACTTTGCAGAAGCCTTGAAAGCAAGATCACATTTAGACCCCCTCACCGCTTGATGTGCTTTTGGACACTAATATAGTGGAATGGGAAAGCTGTTCCCTGTCCCCTTCTCTTTACACCCTGAGTTTCATCATATTCCAGAACTTTACTGCTTGCAGGTGCACCCCCAACTGCACACACACACCCTGCACAATTAACAGGCACTTCTGAGGCACAGCAAATATGAGTGGTTCTGTCAACATTCAGGATAGACCCATAGAAAAAGCCCAAGCAGTCCCCRGAAGTGCACTGGGGAGCCTGAGGGCAAGAATTCTTGGGTCCCAGATACTATAACTCAGGGTAGCTAGGTCCATTTATTCTGTAGGCTGCTTGCCCTTAAGCTGGAATGGAATTTAAGGAAGGCCAAAAGCAACCCTTCTAAAGTTGGGGCCCAGGAAAGGGACACCTTATACCTCAATCAAAGGACAATCTGGTGAAGAGAGTGGATGCTAGCATCAAACTGGAAAAAAAAAAAAAACCTACATAAACCACAATTTAAGTAATCTTTCTACCTATGCTCTTATTGTCTCAGGAGTTTTCTGAAAATGAGTTTTGTTGAAAACTTTGAGCTCCTTAGAGGAAAGCACTATAAACAGAGAAGGACACATTAGCTATTAATGTCATTTTCAGTTGCCACCTATGGCCTATAAAGTTTTTCTCCTGTCAGAGTTTTACAACACCAGTACTAGCAAAGAGTGAAAATGAATCTCTCTGAATCTCTGTATATAAAGGACAACTCCTACAGGAGGGGCTACCACCCCTAGCATGATTTTAGGGAGTGATTAGATCTTCCTGAGTCTCTGTCTCCTTCTACCCTCCCCTACACATTACAGTTTAAAATCCCACCACAAAAATCATTCATTTTGGAATTTTAAAGGATAAAATATGGTTCCTAAGAACCATATTTAAAAGTTATGGTTCCTAAGAACATTCCTTTAGATTGCTCTAATGGGGAATGGGTGGCAATAAGTTCTATAGGAATAAGATAAAGATAGGATGCCAGAGAAAGGAATGGAGCCCAAGAAAAAAGTGAAACCCCAGAGTGAGGACAACCATTGATTATAAATATGTAAGTCTATGGCCCATAGCCAAACTGATTGCATTTAACTAAGACCACCTGTGGTACAAAACATCTGCTCATCCCCACAATGCACACATCAACACCCTGCAGTGTTTGAAACATGTTTATTCCTCTTATTGATGTCTACTGTCAAAAGAGCCCAAACCCCTAAAGAGGCTCAGTGTGCGTTTCTGCCAAGTTACACAGGACATAAGTGGCAAACTCTCCAAGTGTGACAGCTTCATATGATAAAAAATACTGAATTTCAAAAGTTAGAATCCAAGAGAATTTACTGTCATTACGGTATGTTTAATGTAGAAATTACAGAGAAAAATATCTCAAGTTCAGAAAGACTGCTTGATTGGTAAGGCTGATGACCTCTTTTAAGTCCACCCCAAGGGCTATTTGATCTCTCCGGTATTTGACACTATTGACCACACCTTCCTTCCTGAAAACTAGTTCTTCTCTTGAATCTGGTTCTCTTCTGACTCTGCCTCGTTAGCCAAGTTTTCTCTTCCTGTTTGTTTGTTTTAATGTGTCCTCTAATATTGATTTTCCTCTTTTTATTTCTACATGTTCCCCAAGCACCACACTGGCTTTGTTTAAGCCCTGTATGGCCAGCGCTCATCTTGCCCAGCTCCCTAACACACTGGAGAACACACAGCAGGACCAGTGGTGTGCTGGAGCCTGCTCACACCAGCTCTGGGCTGCATGGCTTGTTTTCCCAGCTCCTAAGTGACCTCCCTGGGGCCACCTTAACATCACCAACAGTGTGAGTATTCACACCATTAGAAATTATACATCAAAGAATTCTTTCTTTCCTTTTATTTTGGTTTGGTTTTATTTTTCTAAAGATACTTGTTAACACCAGCACATAATTTATCAAGACATTGTACAAGTAACCCCCCTACACACACACACACACACACACACACACACTCACACACACACGAAGGAAAACCCCAAGTTTCTCATCTTCCCTTTAAAACTCCCTCATTCATTTGCCTTTTACAAAACTTCTTCCAATGACATCATCATCCAGATATTGACTATGGGAAATGATAGTCGTTCTTGCTTAACTTTTTTCCTCTTTGTCTCAATCTTCTCATTTGAAAAAACACAGAGGTCAGGTCAATTGTACCTCCCAAAATCTTTTAAAACTGTCCCTTCCTGTATTACAGTCCCCTCCAAACTCCTTTCCTGTGTCCAGTTTTTCCCCTTCCTATTTATCTTCCTAACTGTAGTGGAGTAATTTTTACTCAGGGAGGGTGGGATGGGAAGCTAAGCAAGTCAACACAAAAGCAAAAACAATCTAATCCTATCTTTCCCCACTCAAAACTTCCTATGTTGTCCTTTGCTTACAAAGAAAAAACACAAAGTTCCTTAAGACGACCTTTGAAAACATGACATTTGAAAGCCTCTGAAGCCTAATTGTGTGTACATCCTTCCCTATTTCACCCTTACCCACCCCATCCCACAAATTTACCATCTACTTTCCTGTGGCTTAGAAACTCCTCCCCCTATCACCTCTGTCCTGTTATGTCACTCTAAAGCATGAGATAAGAGGGACAGAAATTATAAGGCCTACAGAATCCATTTCTTTCATTAAATGAGAAGTTGTGGGACAAAGGGTGGGATCTATAAAGTGTCCAAATTAATAGACAAATATTGCCCCATGCACAGTCAGATCTATTAGCAAGCACAGCAGTAGATTCACAGTGGGTAGTCAGTAGCCTTACTTATTTGGACTCAGGATTAAAAGAAATGAAGCATTTACTTATTATAGAAGTGAAGTATCTATTTCTTTCCTTATTCAGAGTATTTTTCTGGCACTTAAGAATCCATATTCCTGGCTATGATTTCTGGGATGAGAGACAGTTTTATTTCTTAGCCAAAAGCTTTCCTTCCCTTTGACATATTAATAAGAGAATAAATCATTTAAGAAAACAAAGAAATCCTAAAAAAATGTTTCAGATTCCCTTGCCTATTATGCCCCTGGAGAGACAAGCCTCTTTTTCTCCCTGGACATTTGGGGACAATTCCTCCAGTAATGCATGGCATTCCCTTTGTTGTTCTTAATTGTCCTGTTTTGTTTTGACCTATCCTGTGGACCCTTCATCATGTCTCAAAAATTGTCTGAACAAAACAAATATTCATGCCTCCTCAAAGGGCAAATGACCCAAAGGTTCTTCCACCCCTGAAATGAGCCGATTATCAAATAACTTACAACTTCTTAAGCTACATGGCATTTTATTTTTCTCCAACCTTTCCAATAAACATGATCATCAAGACGAGGGGAAGGGTAGGAATGTCCACATGTGCTGTGACCACACCACACTGGAGAGGCAGGCTTTGATTTTCCTTCCTTGTGGCCCTTCTCTGGTGACTGATGTTGCCCAGTAAATTCTAAGCCATTTCTTAGAATTCTGGCTACTTATCCTGGTATGTTAGTGGGTAATAGGCTCCCAGTTTAGCCCACCCTAAAGCGGGTTCCTACTTAATCAGCTCTTGATCAATTCCTTCATCTTCCAGAGAGCCCCAGGAAGTCCCCACAGCTGCCTCTTTACCACTGGGATTGGGCAGCCCTGGATACACTTCCTAAATGGGAAAAGAAACCTAATGGGCAGGACAGGGGGGCAGAGTGCAAAGTGGCCTAATACTCTGACAGTTTAACAACATGCATCAA